TTGCCGTGGTTCGTGTCGTGTTTTACTTGGCGCGCGTACATTTTTTAAGCTTATTTCTGAACGCGGCGGCACATTTCGAGCCCCCGAGACCGCTGCCACGGCCCCTTTGAGATATTTAACGACAGACATGTATGTGTTGTTAGCACAAGCTGACAGGCCTTCTTTAAATATACATGATCTTTATGCAGATGTGAGGTCTATATTGAGGTTAGATCTGAGCATTGTTGCTGCTGTCGTCGGCTCTGGGGACACGAGGAGACACTCACCTGCTGTTCGCTACTTTAAGCAAAATTAGCTTATTTTCTGTTGACGCACCAGTTTGCTATATTTATAAATAATAAAAGTTTAATTTCCTCAGTTCCCCTTCCTGAATGGTCGGTAATCTACCTTTAGGCTGTCAGCACTAAAGTAAACAGTAAAAGACGATCGTTGATCCTTGCTGTTTAAGAAGTGGACGTACGGTTGTGGACTGACTTCTTAGTTTTAGTCGTCTTTGTTTATTTTGATGAAAGTTGATGAGAGAGCAGGTATGCTTTGGGGCGGGGCTTAATATGATGCTTTATGGTCTGTTTGACTCTAAATGAAACATAATTACTAAATGAACATCATGCTGTATTGAAGAAGACTTGAAGAGTAATTTTTACTGAATAAATCCAGAGAGAAGTGGAGTCATTTTCTCATCAATTCCATGAGAGTCGCCCCCTGCTGGTCACTACAGAGAATGCAGCCTTAAGGCACAGTTGAAGACGCTGGATAGAAGACATCGTTCTCTGTTTGGCTCTGAGCGGGAGAGTGCGGCGTCGCTATTACACAATCGCAGACCCAAACTGGCTCACGCACAAGCACGTGCTCGGGGTACAACAGTTTGGCTCACATGCTCTCCCGGTTACTTAATTGTCTTGTGTCCACGGGTGTAAAATCCACTTGTTCGGTCGACATGTTAATTAAATATTTTTTGTTAAAATGCTTTCATTGTTGCTTCATCTGAATGTACGAAATGCGCTGAGCAGCCACAGTCAGATGATGGCGCACTGATTCATTCACGGCGCATTCAAAGTGTGGCTTGATTTTTTTGTGTGATTTGGAACCTCACCTGTTTATTATCTGTCCTTCACGTCGTGCACGTTTGCGACTGCGACGTGGATGCCACTGCGAGGGCTGTGAAAAGAGAGAGGACCCTCGTGAACCCGGGAGACCACCGTCCGCGTCCCGGGCGTGCACGCTGGGCTTGTGCACTCAAGCCGTCGCCATGGCAACAGTCCTCAGCGCTTCATCCTGTGACAGAGGAATCCAAACAGCAGTTTAGATTTGGCCACACTTTGCTGCAAGTGAACGCAGTCGAGGTCGCCGAACACAAAACGTCGCGGTTTCAAACTGGAATTATTGTCAATGTACAAAAGGGCTGCGCAACAAATGTATCTGGTATTCACATTTCACCGCACGGATTCGAGCAAGACTACATTAGGGATGAATATACGAGGTTCACCGCCTGAGGAAGCGTTCACTTTTATTTTCTGTTGTCACTGTGAATCAACATTACGTATAAATATTTAGAGGTTTTATGCTATTTGACATGCAAAAAGATTGTTACCGAAAGCCCCGAGTGTTGTGTTTCGAAGATGATGGATATGATACACGCTTATTCCCAAACAATTCTATTTAATAATACATTCTACGATATTACCGTTTCCGCGAGAATACTTCTAGATCATTTATTTAGAATCCAATCTTGTGTTTTACGGCGTTATTTATTCCACAATGCCAGTTTTCTGTCTGTACTAAACACTTTATGGCTATCTGTATTCATCAATTGTAGTTTTATTGTCCATAAATCTCAATTTTGTCAGCGAGGGGAATCTCGAGTCCCTAACGCGCCAGCTCGGTTGAGTAAAACGTGTTTATTTCCCATCAGAGCTGTTGATATTCATCTTCGTGGCTCTGATTCCTCAGTTATCGTTGGCCTCGAGCCGCTGTGAGAATGCGCCTCACACACAGATGTGTCGCTGCAAAGTGATTTCTTGACTGCGACGCAGCGCGAGGAGGTTATTGAACACCAGTCAGGATGCGACGTTCTGGTCGGCAGATTGCTGGTCAGAAACGGCATCGTGAAGCAGCTCTTTCCGGTGGTCGGGCAGCGTTTTAAGATGCGATTTCCTCCACTCGGGGATATCGAGATCAGCTGTGTGTGTGTGTGTGTGAGTAGCATTGTGCGGCTTCCGGTGAACCACTTTCTCACAAAAGCTTTTACTGCCTATTTTAGGGCCTTATTGAGCAAAAATGAGTCGGATGGTATAGACGTCTATGGGAAAATGACTACTTCTCTCTCCATTTATTCCCTCAGCGTGATGTTCATCGAGGTCCATTTTGAGAAGAAGATGTTTTCAAGGAAAGATTCCACACCACTTCAACAATGGCAACAACGGAGAAATACTATTATTGAGCTGCTTTATATAATATATCGTCAATTCTGATCAGTAGAGGAAACCACAAAGCGCTTCTTCTGATGGACGGGAAACACAAGAAATGAAAATGTTACTGACGCTTCAAACCCAAAAGAACAAAGTGGAAATCATCTACTCATAGAGGTCAATTCTACTCTGTGTTCAACTGAGGCATCAATGAAACCACGAGGCCCCTTTTGAAACGGAACATTCGATTTATGTTCACGAAGTCGAGACAAGACGTGTTTTTGTCTGTAAAGTTTATGAAGACCTCTCGCTGCACGCCGACACTGTTACCGCCGCATCCCGCTGGGCGCCACTGTACGCTTACTGTGTGTGTGTGTGTGTGTGTCAGGTTCGGGGATTACACAAACGATTCGCAGGAAGGTGTTCGTGGACATTTAACGAGTCTCCCGCGTCATCGTGGCAGACTATGTTCCATGATAATAAAGGCGGATTACTGCGTATTAATGGACACATGAATGGGACGAGCCCCACGCTGTGTAAACACCGATGTGCTGTGACACAACAACATGGATTATTTATGCCTGCTCAGTGTCAAGTAAAAACAACTTTTGCTGTAATGTGTCTACAGGTTTTTTTTAATGCACATTTTAATTCAATTTGCATATAACAGCTGGGTGGAAACATCATCCTAACATTTTTTAGTGATTGGCACCTAAATGGTAAATGAGCACCACGTGCTTATCGTCATGCACTACAAGTCTGTGCAACGCTTTAGCCGATTCGGTTAAAATGTGTGCTTAATCTGAGCGGGGACCTCCGTCACTGGGAAGTATAAAGGGATGTTGTAGCCAAAACGGAAGGAGCGAGAGACGGCGGTTGGACCTCTTCATCCATCCGTACCAGGTGGACGGAGTCACGACGACGCCACCCATTGCTTTGCGGCGGTGCTGTTTCAAGAGCCTGAAGTTCAGCCTTCAGGCCGTCGCCATCCTTCCCGCATGTGACGCAAGAAGGGTGGAGATGCAATGGAATGCCAGATAAGAAATTGGCTTCTCAGACCGGGAGGCTGAAACTGATTTCTTAAGAGCAACCGTGAGGTTTTTCCACAAACGTCCCACGTGCCTCTTGTTGCATTAACCTGAGTATATCTTGTGGTTGGGATTGTGCCGGCGCTCTTGGCGGCTGTGTCCCAAAAGCCAAGACCGGATGGGGGTTGTGACCAAGTCATCTGTTCGATGAGTCGGTCATGCCGGTCATGCACGCGTCACTGTTCCTCCCGACGGTCGGGAATAAAAACATTTGTCAGGGCTGTGAGTCGTTTGCAAGGTGAAGTGAGGCTGCAGAGGGACCCGAGTCAGGGTCCAGAGGGAGAGAGGCACACGACTGGAGCCGAGCATGCAGGAGAACGACCTCTGCATGTGGGATGAGGTCCAGGGAGGAGGAGGAGGAGGAGGAGGGGGGAGGAGGGGGAGGGGGAGGAGGAGGAAGAGGAGGATGCACCAGAGCAGCAGGCTTCTGGTGTATTAACCACACGCCAGGTCTTGTGCGTTGCATGTACATATATGTGATGCACCGATTGGCTGTTTGGGTGTGTGTGTGTGAGAGAGTGTGAGAGGGAGAGAGAGAGAGAGAGAGAGAGAGAGAGAGAGAGGAGCTTGTGAATGAGAAAGGGGGGAGGGAGCTCAAACACTGCAGTCTGAGCTGACTCGCTCATTCTTCTCTCGCCGTGACCCGCCGGTGGACACCTGATCTCGCAGCCCACTTAAGAGAAGAGGAAAACACGTCTGTGTGTGTGTCTTTGTGTGTGTGTGTCTTTGGGGGGTCTTTGGGAAGGGACGCCGTACACTTTTTTTTTTTTTTTTTGCCTCGCTGATGAGGGGAGTCTGAGGGAGCAATTACCTCCCGTCCGCGTAGAGAAGGAGGGGGGGACGGCGGAGGAGGAGACGAAGAGGGGGGGGGGGGGAGTCGGCAGATGTGTGAGGAGCGGGATTAAAGACCCCCAAAGTGGGGTCCGCTCTCTCTGGCGCCATCCTCCTCCACGCATCCATCCATTGCACCAACCCAACCCCCCCCGCCGCCACTGCGTTCTTCATTGAGTAGCAGAAGTTGATTGGCCCCGGATCAAGTGCCATCACACCCCCACCCCCCCCCCTCTCACCCCCCCCTCCCCCAAGCTCGTATAGAGAAGGAGGGAGCGCGGATCTGCCCCCCCCCGCGGGGTTTTTTCATCTCTCGGAGCGTCGGCACCTGCGCTGAAAGTGGTCGCGGAGAGGTGAGCGCGCGGCGGGATTATGTCCTAAAACGCACGGAACCACACAGCGCGGCGGCGGGATTACGCGCAGAATATAGAGGGACCGCGCGGGATTAAAGGAGACTCAAGCAGCTTTGGTTGGGACAAGGGGACGGGGACAGGGGGACATGGGTGGGAGGGCGTGGGGGGGTCTTAAATCGTTCTAACTGTTTTTTTTGTGAGGAAAACTGGAGGAGACATCCATCCGTCTGCACCGAGCGGAGTAACTTCTGACTCCCCCCTCCTCCCCCCCTCCACGTTGAGGACTTTAGGCCGGGACTTGGACTCGTCCGCCTCCCGCCATGAGACGCTCGAGCACCGACGAGACCCCCTACCGGCGCAGTCCGTCCCTGGACAGCAAGTCCGACTCGCCGCCCTTCTCCTCCGGGTTCCACCGTTTCAGCGGGGAGTTGGAGTACAAGCGGCCGCCTTTCGCTTTGGGTTTCCACACCACGAAGGGGCCGCAGGCCGCCAAGGGGCGCTGCGCGCAGCGGGGCAAAAAGTACGTGGTGTTTTACCTGGACCTTTCCTTCATTTTCCTCCAAGAGCTGCGCCGCTGCAGGATGGCCGAGGGCTGCGTGATGCCCCTGCGATACGGAATGGTTTTTTTCAACCTCCTTTTCTGGGTGAGTCAGGAGGGGGGGGGGGGGGGGGGTAACTGAGATTACTAATGACTCAATGACTCGTCATGTGACGGGCAAGTAGTTTGAGACTCACGAGAATAATTACGCGCATTACGCGCAACAGGTTGACTGACTAGTGAGAAACTTTTGAATACCGTGAATAGTTAACAAGAGACTCACGTTATTAACGAGTCACCTGACGAGCGTTTGCCTAACGAATCACGTGGTAAAGACACATTATTAACGAGTCACCTGACTAGCGATTGACTAACAAATCACTTGATTAATGACTCACATCATCAACGAGTCACCTGACGAGCGATTGACTAAGAATCACCTGATTAATGACTCACATTATTAACGAGTCACCCGACTAGCGTTAGCCTAACGAATCACGTGGTAAAGACACATTATTAACGAGTCACCTGACTCGCGATTGACTAACAAATGACTTGATTAATGACTCACATCATCAACGAGTCACCTGACGAGCGATTGACTAAGAATCACCTGATTAATGACTCACATTATTAACGAGTCACCCGACTAGCGTTAGCCTAACGAATCACGTGGTAAAGACACATTATTAACGAGTCACCTGACTAGCGTTTGCCTAACAAATCACTTGATTAATGAATCACATTATTAACGAGTCACCCGAAGAGCGATCGACTAACGAATCACGTGATAAGGACACATTATTAACGAGTCACCTGACTCGCGATTGACTAACAAATGACTTGATTAACGACTCACATTATTAACGAGTCACCTGACTCGCGATTGACTAACAAATGACTTGATTAACGACTCACATTATTAACGAGTCACCTGACTCGCGATTGACTAACAAATGACTTGATTAACGACTCACATTATTAACGAGTCACCTGACTCGCGATTGACCACTAAGGACTCACCTTAGTCGGGGACTAACAGCTCACCTTTCTAATGACTAAGATTACTAACGAGTCACCTGTCTAATGACTAAGATTACTAACGAGTCACCTGACTAATGACTACGATTACTAACGAGTCACCTGTCTAATGACTACGATTACTCACTCGACTAGCGAGGGACCATCGGCTCACGTGGCCGAGGGAGTCACGTGACTGATCTAACATTCTGCATGTTTACTCACACGTCTTTCTGTATTTCATGTGGGCCAGAGGCAGCTGTGGTGTGTGTTGCCAGAGTGATGTGAGAGGAGTGAGGATGGAGCGGAGGGGCGGAGGAGGAGGAGGGGGGGTGGAGGAGGAAAGACAGGTCATGCATTTAGATCACGTGTAGCAAAGCCCACCGTGGGTCGAGCTTTCTTTCGGTTCCACATACAGCACTTCCAGACGTGGGTGTGCGCCGCTTTGTTTTTCTGCGTTAAGCCTCTTCACGTGTGCAGCTGGCGTTTTTAGCGCGGACTCGTTAATCACAACGCCGGGATGCTCCATCGCCTTCCTCTGCTCCACCCCTCCCACCTCCTCCTTTCCCTCTTTCCCCTTCTCAGCCCATCGAGGCTGTCAAGCCGCTCTATCTGGATGATCATATCTGTTTGCAGAGGGGGGCAATTCAGCCTTTGTCTGTCCATCTCACTCCGGTAGCCCCCCCCCCAACAGATCACTTTCATTTCCACCCCGAAGCCCCCGTCATGTTCCGCAGCTTCACATTTAAAGATCTCCATCTCAGCCTCGTGCCAGTGTGTGATGTGTTCTTGTCTTTTTGTCTTTTCTGTGCAATCGTGTTGCAACTTTGTCTCGGGTTTTGTGGGATGCTGCCCCCCCCCTCTCCCCCCCCTGCAGTTTACAGTGCTGGGATTACTTTGATTTGTCATACTTCTGTTCTTATTGGTAATGGAACGAGATGAGGCCTCGAACGCCGAAATGCAATCTAGCTTCCAAGATGCAATCTCCCTCTGGGAACGAGTGACCTCTTCAACTCTTCATCTTCTCTCAGCTATAAAGCACTGCCGAGGAGGACCACGGCAAACGTTATGAGCACACTGTGTGTGTGTGTGTGTGTGTGTGTGTGTGTCACACACTCACAAGACCCACAAGACTCCAAGACCGCTACTAACGACTCAAGAGACTAACGACTCACGAGAATAACGACTCACAAGACTAAAAACTCAAGACTAACAACTCACTAGACCAACGACTCACAAGACTCACAAGACTAACGACTCAAGAGACTAATGACTCACAAGACTAACGATTCACAAGACTAACGATTTACAAGAATAACGACTCCTGCTACTAACGAATCAAGAGACTAACGATTCACAATACTAACGACTCACGCTACTAACGACTCAAGAGACTAACGACTCACGCTACCAACGACTCACGAGACCAACGACTCACGAGACCAACGACTCACGATGCTAACGACTCACGATGCTAACGACTCAATAGACTAACAAATGACAAGACCAACGACTCAAGAGACTAACGACTCAAGAGACTAACGACTCACGAGAATAACGACTCTCAAGACTCCAAGACCGCTACTAACGAATCAAGAGACTAACGACTCAAGAGACTAACGACTCACGAGAATAACGACTCACGAGACTAAAAACTCAAGACTAACAACTCACTAGACCAACGACTCACAAGACTCACAAGACTAACGACTCACGAGACTAATGACTCACGAGACTAACGATTCACAAGACTAACGACTCAATAGACTAACAAATGACAAGACCAAAGACTCTTAAGACCAACGACTCAAGAGACTAACGACTCACGAGAATAACGACTCACGAGAATAACGACTCTCAAGACTCCAAGACCGCTACTAACGAATCAAGAGACTAACGACTCAAGAGACTAACGACTCAAGAGACTAACGACTCACGAGAATAACGACTCTCAAGACTCCAAGACCGCTACTAACGAATCAAGAGACTAACGACTCAAGAGACTAACGACTCACAAGACTAACGACTTACAAGAATAACGACTCCCGCTACTAACAACTCAAGAGACTAACGACTCACGCTACCAACGACTCACGAGACCAACGACTCACGAGACCAACGACTCACGATGCTAACGACTCACGATGCTAACGACTCATGAGACCAACGACTGACGAGACGTGACTAACGAGTCACGTGACTAGTGTGTGACTATGACTCCCACGAACTCAGGTGACTAGCGAGGGCCGGGACCAGGCAGTATATAGGCAGTGAGTGTGTGAGAGGCTACATGGTGCAGCACAGCAGGGGCTCTCATCGATCATTTATATGAGTGACATGTTCACATCGGCCAGATGAAATGCTGATAAGCTCTCACATGGATTCTCAGGAGGGATCTCATCTAAAACAAACACTCTCTTTACATTTGTTCAAAATAATCGTGAGATGTCACATGGAGGCGAGATTATTCGGGATTGGAGTCGGGAAGCGAGTGGCTGCACTCTCGTTGTTTCACTTCGACAGAAACGGATGTTGAGAAATTCATCAACTTGAATGAATTTGATGCCTCTGCTGGGGAAATCGTTTTCTAATTCATTTTATTTTATTGTAATTCTTATTGATAACCTGTAATCTCTTTCCCACTTAAGACAAGACGATCCTCCATTAACAAATACATCTTTTATCCATTTGTCAAAGATCAAATTTCCTGCTTTCTGCTGTTCTTCATCGCTGCAAGTTTGCGACTGCAGGTTGAACAAAAGAAAATGAAACATCATCTCGTCCTATTTAGACGCTGTAAGACTCGTTTTTAACATTTAATACTTTAAATGATTAATTGATCATTTGAAAACACAACTACAACTTTCATCCCTGATGGATTTCTGCAGGAAAACTGACTTTCACTTTTGTTTCGTTCCTCTGAAACGGTTTCTGATGTTTCTGGTGAAATGTCTGAAATACGACCGCTGCGTAACACGAGCTGAAGAGAATTTCTACAGAAATAAATCTGTCCCCAAATGACCCTCTTGTGGAATATCTGAGGCTTTTATGACCCGGTGCCAAGTGACCAAAACAAGGTAAAAACTGCTAATTGCTTTAATGCTTCAAGACCAATAAACGTGACGCCATTGCAACAGTAACAGAGCCCTTTAAAATAGACTTTTTAAAGCCTGAGGTAAAACTCAGGTACACTTGCATGTTTAAACATTTGTTGTGGATTGACTGATCTCTGTAACGATGGATTAACAGGAAACCGCAGGGATTAAATACATAAATATGACCCAATACCCAAATAAATGATGAATTGGTGACCCTCAAAACTCGACCGGCGTCCGAGTCCCGCTGGGTTGTCGCCGGGTTACTCGAGTTCCTCCTAAACACGAGCAGGTGTTTTTGTCCATCACACTTCCTCTGCACGTCGTTCAAACCGACCATCGTGGTGTAGTTGCTGTCGGCGAGGAGGCTCCTGGCTTCTCTTCACGCTCGGTGTGCAGAAGGTCTTTGGGGGGGTTTCCTTTTGTTTCAGTGATTGAACGTGTTGCTCACTGGCGTATACGCAAAAGCATCGAACAAGAAACGGACTCATTTCAAACCTGCTGCTGGGTGGAAGCGTTTCACTGGACCACCGAATACCATCTGGAAAATGTCCGCTAACATCTGGATCGCTTTTGTTTTTGGGTTTTTTTGCAAAAATAAACTAATTCAACAATCGTACAATTGCGATTGGAAACCGAAGGAAAGCCGAGTAGAAAAAGAGGGAAAGTTCAGCTTCCTGTCGGGTCGTTTTCATCTTTAAAACAAAACTATTTAACAATTAAAACAGCTTATTTCAATTTATTTACCCTTTTTTATATTGACATCTTTGTGACTAAGCTTTTCTTAAGCCGAGCGGTGGTTTTTATTTACAGTTTAAACGCCACACTTGCACAGATTTGACGCCCTTGTTTGCGTCCGTCACCTCTCGCCTCCTCACAGGCAGACGGATTTAGTTCAATTTGTGTGGCGTGTATATGCAGTACATTAGTTATACTACACGTTTTCCGTGAACCTCTTCATTCCGATAACATTGTTCCGTTAAGAGGTGCA